GCATAACATTTTTTCTTTTCAGAATTTTTTGAATTCTGTTTTTTTTTTTTTTTTTTTTTTTTTCATGGCCGCAGACCGCGGACACGTCCGCGGGGTCGCGGCCTAGGCCGCGGCCGCGGACTTGTCCGCTGCAAGGAAATTCATCAGTGGCCGGTTCTTGCGATCTGTGGACCCGTCGTTGATGAATATGCAGCCGGTTGTGTCCCAACATGCAGTCATGGGGTGGATTGCTTTGTGCACCTTCAGGTAGATGTAATCAACCATGACAGTCTGCATATGTTTGTAGGAAGGTTTTTGGCCTTGCACTCGCAACCTTCAGGCATGCTTCGTGAAGAGCTTGCGTGGTGTCAAAGTTTAGGAAGTTGAAAGGAATACCCGCCCTGAACATTGCCTCCGCCCAGGCAATGTCCAACTCCTTCTGAGCTTGATTGTTGATCCACTTCTTGATTGAGGTCTGCTTGGCCACGACAGGCTTGACAGTACCCTTCGCTTCGCCAGCGACCTCATCACCCCCCTCCCCATCCTCACCGTCCGTGGCAGGAGTCTGAGCAGCAAGCTGTGGAGCAGACCTCCCCGGGAGAGGCGGTGGTACCGGCTCAAACAAAGGATCCTTAGTATTAGATCCACTATGCACATGCTCCTCGCCCCCCTCTACACACCTGGCTAGTCCTCTGCCATTCTTCAACAAGTAACGAGTATTCTTGTCGGTGAACGTCACCTTGCCACGCTGGTTGCTGACAAGCTCATCGACGATCTCCCCTATCCGAAAAGGATATGGTTTCTGCGGTTTTAGGAAATGATGAACCACCTTCGTCGACGAGCCCATGAAGATGGTGGAGCATAGGCAACACATGAGCCAGTACTCCCCACGGCTTGCCGGCAATGCCTCTTGTCCCTGTTCAACCCACTGCCACACTGAAATCCTCTTCAACAGCTTCTCATGTGCCTTGTCGCCCTGGGGTTGAAAGAGAGCAAGGTCAGCTATGTATCACCCGCGGCCATGGCCGCGGGGTCAAACTCAGAGGGCGACCGTGATCACGGTCGTTGCGGCTCCGGCCGCGGTTGGGTGCGCCCGCGACTTTCAGGAATTTGTTTAGACTTACAAAAAGTCTTAAGAAAAAAAACAAAAACTATGGGGCTGTAGATCTTTTCGAGATCTAAATTGCACAATTTTTTATTTTATTTTTTAACTTCGTCCTCAAATTTTAAAAATTCAAAAACTAATTTTCCTGAGGCAAAAACTTTTTTTTTTCTTCAAGAAAAAACTATAAAACTTATGTGTTTTTTATTCAGTAAAGTTTTTGGATATGACCACAAGGAGAAAGTTGTTCAGTATAGTCTGCATAACATATTTGTTTTTCATAATTATTTGAATTCTTTGTTTTTGTTTTTTTCATGGTCGCGGACCGCGGCCGTGGCCGCGGGGGCGCAGCCTAGGCCGCGCCTCGGAGGGGGATTCATAGAGGGTCAGTGCCCGGTGTTGCGTCCTTGTTGACGGGCGTCTTGGTGAACTGCGCCGTCTTGCTTGAGGAAGGTCTGTCAGTATCATGTAACACCTGGCCGTTCCCTCTGTCTGCACCAACGGTGCCCAACCTCCGTCTCGATGGTTCAGCTCCACCACTGCCATCACTTGCCATGCTGTCGCCCGCGGTATGTGGAGGGGGAAAAGAAAAAAAAAATGAAGTGTGGAAGGTTGTGGCTTTGGGACGCGTTATGTTTGGCTATGGGGGTTAAGAAGAAGAAGAAGAAGAAGAAGAAGAAGAAGAAGAAGAAGAAGAAGAAGAAGAAGAAGAAGAAGAAGAAGAAGAAGAGGAGGAGGAGGAGGAGGAGGAGGAGGAGGAGAAGAAGAAGAATCTGATACGGAAGAAGGAAAAAAAAATCGCTACGGCTATGGCTCTAGCTAAGCGGGGAGAGAAGCCTGTCTCTTATACACATCTAGATGTGTATAAGAGACAGGTAGAAGGGTATTGGGTTTAACACCAGATTTTTTTTATTTTTTTTTGAAAAACGCTCCATCTATTGGTGGGGAGCATCACCTGCTGGAAACCGGGNGAGGAGGAGGAGGAGGAGGAGGAGGAGGAGGAGGAAAAGAAGAAAAAGCAGAAGAAGAAGAAGAAGAAGAAGAAGAAGAGGAAGAGGAGAAGGAGGAGGAGGAGGAGGAGAAGAAGAAGAAGAAGGAGAAACTTATACGAAAGAATAATAAGAAAAAAAAAATCGCTATGGCTATGGCTCTGGCTCAGCGGGGTGGGAAACAGAGGAGGAGGAGGAGAAGGAGAAGAAGAAGAGGAGGCGGAGGAGGAGAAGAATCTCATACGAAAAATGGAAAACAAAAAATCACTATGGCTATGGCTCCGGCTCAACGGGGAGGGAAGCAGAGCAGCAGGAGGAGGAGGAGGAGAAGAAGAAGAAGAAGAAGAAGAAGAAGGAGGAGGAGAAGCAGGAGGAGGAGAAGGAGGAGGAGGAGAAGAAGAAGAAGAAGAAGAAGAAGAAGAAGAAGGAGAAACTGATACGAAAGAATAATAATAATAATAAAAATTGCTATGGCTATGGCTCTGGCTTAGCGGGGTGGGAAGCAGATGAGGAGGAGGAGGAGGAGGAGAAGAAGAAGACGAGGAGGAGGAGGAGAAGAAGAAGTGGAGGAGGAGGACGAGGAGGAGGAACAGAAAAAAGAGAAACTGATACGAAATAATAATAAATTGCTATGGCTATGGCTCTGGCTCAGCGGGGTGGGAAGCATGTGACGAACCACTTTCTGTGCCGTGCGACTTTCTGCGCGATGACAATGAGGGGTCCTGAGATGGGAGGGGTTGGGCAAATTGCGGGAGGTGGGGTCGGGGGGTAAATTGCGTCAGTGTCCTCGCTTCTTTCTTTTCCTTCGCTTCGCTCCTTCCCCTTCGACGGTGGTGGGACAGGCCCGGGACAGACGGTTGAGTGTGCGTGCCCCGTTGGGCGCGATCAATAACGGTTGGCGACGATTCTTTCTTGCTCTGCTGAAAGTCGAAGGAGGGAACGAAGATTTTTGGCGTGATGATCGCGTGGGAGCTTTTCGGTTTTCTTTTTAAAATTTCCTTTCAACTAAGAACGAGCCTCGAGGGCTCTCAAATTTTGATTTCTTTGTCTCGTCGAAATTTTTCTGCTGCAGTTTTGAGTTCAGATAGGAATTTAGGACTTTTTGAATTTCTTGCCGAGCGGCGCCTCTTTCTTGCGTGCATATTCCTGCGGCGCAAACAAAGTTCTGACTAAGGGGCGCCCTTAATCTTGCATGCAACTGTAATCGATGGGCGAGCGCCATTGTAACTGTATCTTTCTTCTTGTTCCCTCGCCTTCTTCCCACCCTTTTTCCCTTCCTTTTTGCTGCATCTGATTGGTCTGAGCGTTGCATGCCTAGATCGATGCGTGGAGAGTGGCTACGTCCCCCACGCCGCAATCTGGCCATGCCAAGCGTAGGCATTTCCTTCTATGCTCCTCTTTTCAATCCCTGCAATCTCGCATCTTCGCGCACGCATGCATGCTATAAATTTCGTCAGCGCGATTAGATAGCTCTCTAAAATTTTGGAAGCTCGAGGTTAGCGCGATAGTGAGGGTCGGCTAATGAGCGAAGTAAGAGGTGAGTGATGTGGGAGTTGGACGACCAGACGAGCTGGTGCCAAGTGCGCGGAGTTGACATGTAGGCCACGACGGCCTGTGGCGCACCAGTGAACCTGATGGGCGAGTGTGGACTAAGCGGGGTGACAACTTCGTGGGCGGATGGGAGACGACGGACTGTCCGCATCGGAGGGAGAGAGAGAGAGAGGGGAAGCAGGCGGATGTGGGATTGCAATCTTCTTTGTCTTTTCTCAGTCCTTGTATATAAAATTTTGGCCCCGGGCGAAACGCCCTTGCTTTGCATTTTGACATTTCTTTCGGCTTTATGTGATGTACAGTTCAATCTTTGTCCTCCCTCTTTCGTTATGCATTTGATTGATGAGATGGGTCCGATGATCCTGTAATACGTGATGTTTTACGTGTAATCCTGAATCATCACGCGCTCGCAGCGCTGATCTATTCTCACCTGGATGATTGGTAGGTGAAAGAAGTCTGATACTATGTGGTGCTTTGATGTATGTCTGGATGACGATGAGATATCCCTTTGATGGCCACGTGACTGCTTTTGCTCGAACAAGAATGGCTGAGAGATTATTGCATGACCACATAAACCTTCTTTTGCATAGATGATTGGCTAATGGATCGATCTACAACGGACCAACCCCGCGAGTCCCCGTGTAAGCGCGATCTGACGAGCGCGACTTACACGCGTACCCGCGAGGCCGGCCCACAACCTGGAATGGGCTTAGCACGATCGATCTCGACGTAAATGACGGAATCTTCATCTGTGATGCGGGTCGAGACAAATTAAGGTCCAACACCATACGGGGACCACTGAGTGTGCATGCTGTGCGAATGTCAAGAACGGAACAAATTGATAGCCTGAGGGAACTATCTGCATGGTTGAGCCGGTACGCGGACGAATTGTCCTTGAATATTTGCGCG